TGGCACGCCAAGTATATATGCTGTTGATTCACATTAAGGTCCGCGTTTCAGGAGTTATGGGACCACTGAGCACGCGAGTTTCTGGGCAGTAGAAGGCCAACTCACCACGTGCTTTCCAGGGCTTCCCTCCACTACTCACCAAATGTGCAAAACTAGAATGAATCTTCTGCTAAAACATGGAATCATACGCCACCATATGTTGTCTTTTGTGCAAGTGGTGACGAGTGGAGCAAGGCCCTTAGGGCCACTGCTTGTAGGAAAAGGAAACAAAAGAAAGAGAGGAATGAATCTTCTGCTAGAACATGGAACCATACGTCGCCATATGTTTTGTCTTTTGTGCAAGTGGTGACAAGTGGAGCAAGGCCCTTAGGGCCACTAAAGAAACAGAGTAATGAATCTTCTGCTAGAACATGGACTCATACGCCGCCATATGTTTTGTCTTTTGTGCAAGTAGTGACAGGTGGAGCAAGGCCCTTAGGGCCACTGCTCGTAGGAAAACGAAACAAAAGAAAGAGGGAGCTACAGTAGTAAGTAGTTGTAACGTGTAACCCATAACTGCCGGAAAGCAGACCTGACTTCGGATCCAGAACATATATTGCTGGCCTGCTCCATTCTCACATGAAATTTGCTGAACGTCTCTTGAGACGTTGGGACCTTTGCAGATGCACTGGGGTCCTTCGGGAAAAGGACAATTCAACAAGGAATTCGTATGCTCAATTTTTTTTCCTGTGCCCTTCGATATTTTAGAAGGGAGGGGCACCATTGGCTACTTCAGCCAGCCCTCCCCAATTTTTTTGAACTCTATTTATTGGGGTGTGCGCGCATGGTTGCACGTGCACTAGGCGCCGCACGTGCGGAGCTCGCGTGCATGCGATGCGCTGGAGTATAGGGGTGATATAGGGGGTTATGGACGGTTTAATAAGGGTGTTGGCGGCTGTTCGGGGCTGTTGGGGTGGTATATGGGGTATTGGGGTCTGCTATGGGGGTGTTGGTGATATTATTAGGGGTTCTGGACCCCCCCCCAAAAAAACAAAATGCGGGGTGCCGACGACCCCCGACCAGTATGTTCCGACCAGCCGACCGGTCGGCGGGTCGGCAGCCGACCAGTCAAGGGTCGCCGACGGTCGGGGTGTGCAACACTGGTGCTCGTTTAAAAAGGGCGACAGCGTTGAGATATGAGTCATATGACCATTGAACTGACTGGCCCCAGCTGATTTAGAATTATTTTAGGGGCCTTCTCACACGAGGGGCTTTTTAGGGTGTTGCATCCCTGCCGACCGCCTCCCCCGACCGCCGACTGTTTTGCAGCTGACCAGTAGGGCCGACCGGTCGGCTGTCTGCGGACCAGTCAGAAAACAGCCATCCACTGATTTTGTTTTTAAGTCTGAGTTGGGGTGCAATCAGACTCGACTTCTTCACACTTGTCATGCATGCAAACAGCGAAACAGCAAACTGGCGACATGCGCCCACACAGTACTCAAGATATCGTAACCAGGTAGGAGTTCTCTTCAACTGGCTATGGCGACTGAGCGCCCACACAACTCACTGTTCGC